TTTGATTGTTTTGATTGTTTTGCTGTGCAGAAGCTTTTTAATTTGATATAGTCCCATTTCTCTATTTTTTCTTTTGTTGCTTGTGCTTTTGGGGCCTTATTCATAGTATTTTCCCAGTCCTAATTCCTGGAGTGTTTTCCCTGTTTTCCTTTAGCAATTTTATGGTTTCAAGTCTTATATTTAAGTCTTTAATCCATTTTGAGTTGACTTTGGCATATGGTGAGAGGTACAAGTTCAGTTTCATTCTTCTGCATGTAGAAGTCCAGTTTTCCCAGCACCATTTACTGAAGAGGCAGTCTTTTCCCCAATGTATGTTCTTTTTGCTTTTGTCAAATATCAGTTGGCTATAAGTATGTGTGTTGACTCCCAGGTTTTCTATTCTGTTCCATTGATCCTATTGTCTGTTTCTATGCCAGTACAATGCTGTTTGGGTTACAATAGCTTTGTAATATAATTTGAGGTCAGGTAGTGTTATGCCTCTGGCTTTATTTATTCATTTTTTTGCTCAGGATTGCTTTGGCTATTTGGGGTCTTTTGTAGTTCCATATGAATGTTAAGATTGCTTTTTCTGTTTCCATGAAAAATGACATTGGTATTTTGATGGGGATTGCATTGACTCTATAGATTGCTTTGGGTAGAATACACATTTTCATAATTCTTCCTATCCAAGAGCATGGTATGTTTTTCCATCTTTTTATGTCTTCTTTAGTTTCCTTCAGAAGTGCTTTGCAGTTCTCATTGTAACAGATCTTTTGCCTACTTGGTTAAATTGATTCCAAGGTATTTTATTTTTTNTAGATTGCTTTGGGTAGAATACACATTTTCATAATTCTTCCTATCCAAGAGCATGGTATGTTTTTCCATCTTTTTATGTCTTCTTTAGTTTCCTTCAGAAGTGCTTTGCAGTTCTCATTGTAACAGATCTTTTGCCTACTTGGTTAAATTGATTCCAAGGTATTTTATTTTTTCAGCCAGTATTATAAATGGGCTTGCTTTCTTGCTTTCTTTTTCTGCTAGCTTGTTACTGGAACATAAAGATGCTACTGATTTGGGGGTGTCAATTTTGTATCATGCTACATTACTGAAATTGTTGATTAGCTCTAAGGGTTTCTTAGTAGAGACTATAAGTTTTTCTGTATATAAGATCATGTCATGTGCAAACTTGGGAGAGTTTGACTTCATCCTCTCCAGTTTGGACATCCTTCATTTCTTTCTCTTGCCTGATTGCTCTGACTAGTACTTCTAATACTATGTTAAGTAGGAGTGGTGAGAGTGGGTATCCTTGTCTTGTTCCTGTTCTTAAGGGAAAAGCTTTCAACTTTTCCCCATTTAGGATGATATTGGCAATTGTCCTGTCATAAATGGCTTTTATTGTGTTGAGATAATTTCCTTATATACCTAATTTGCTGAGAGTCTTTATCATGAATGGATGTTTAATTTTGTCAAATGCTTTTTCTGCATCAGTTAAGATAATCATATAGTTTTTGTCCTTGATTTTGTTGATGTGGTGTATCAATTAATTGACTTGCATATGTTAAACCATCCTCGCATCCTTGGGATGAATCCCTCTTGATCATGGTGTATAATTTTTTGATGTTTTGATGTATTCTGATTGCTAATATTTTGTTGAAGATTTTTGCATCTCTGTTCATCAATGATATTGGCCTGCAATTTTCTTTTTTTGTTGTATTTTTATCTTTTTTTTGGTATCAGGGTGATGCTGGCCTCATAGAATGAGTTTGAGGGAATGGCTTCTTTTTCGATTTTTTGGATTAGTTTCAAGAGAAGTGGTGTTAGTTCTACTTTAAAGGTTTGATAAAATTCAGCTGTAAAGCCATCCAGTCCTGGGGCTTTTCTTTGTTGGAAGGTTGCTCATTACTGCTTCAATCTCCACTCATTATTGGTCTGTTCAGGTTTTCTATTTTTTCTTGGTTCAATCTTGGAAGTTTGTGTGTGTTCAGAAATTTATCCATTTTCTCTGGGTGTGTAGTTGTTTATAATAATCTCTTATGATTCTTCATATTTCTGTGGTGTCAGTTGTAATGTCTACCTTTTCATTTTTGATTTTTGTTATTTGAGTCTTCTCTCTTCCTTTTTTTGTTAGCCTGACTAATGGGTAGTCTATTTTATTTATCTTCTCAAAAAAACAACTTTATGTTTCATTGATCTTTTCTATTGTTTGGGGGGTTCCTATTTCATTTAGTTCTGCCCCGATCTTTCAGTCATCTCAAGGGTTTCCTGTTCTATGGGGTCTGGTACTTGAGAATTACCATATTCCTTTGGTGGTGTCATATCTTCTTGTTTATTTGTAGTTCTGGTATTTTTTTCATAGATGTTTGGTCATCTGGTAGGACACTTGTTTCTTTTATTACTCTGGAATGGGCTATGAGAGGAAAGACTTCCTCCTCTATTTGTAGGTTCTGCTGGTGACTCTTCTTGAATCAGTGCAATTGAGTAAGCAGTGGGCTACCATGGCTCCTGCTCAGTTGGTAGGTGTGCGTTGTCCAGGGCTTGGGGTGGGTGTGGGCCAGTGCCTGAAGTCATGGCCAAGGTGTGGGTGCCTCAAGTTATAATAAACGACATTTGTAGGTTGTGAGTTATGGGAAATGAAGGATAGAGAGGGGTCAAAAACACTTTTTCAGTTCTGACTTTGGTAAGTGGGTGGATTTTGGTACCTTTCAGGGAGATGGGAAATATGGGAGAGAAGTGGAAGAGGGTATAATGAGTTTACTTTTGGAACAGTTACATTCAAAATGCCTGTAAAGCCTGCACAAGAAATGTACACAAGGATATTGGTTATACAAGTCTGGGTCTTAGAAGACAGATCCAGGTAGAAGACAGAGATGGAGGAGACATCAGCATAAGTGTTGAAATTGAGGCCATGTGTGAGGATATCAATGGGGAGACTGTGCATAGTAAGAAGAAGAGGACATAAAAGAGGTCTCAGGAACAAGTCGAGGACAAAGAGTTTACACAGCGGACTTTAGAGCGGCAAAAGAGATGAGACAAAAACTAGAAGGGTGTGGTATTATGTAAGTTAGCAATAGTGATGATTTTGAAAACTGCACAATGATTAAGAGTGTCAAATGCAGCCTAGAGGCCAAGCAAGGAAAAGAAACTGTCCTTGAGAATTAGCAATGTTAACATCATTAGAAACTTTAGCAAAAGCAATGCTTGCTAGTAGAATTGGCAGGCACCAGAACGTCGGATGAGAAATTTAATTCAAGGAATAGACATTACTTTCTTTAAATTTGTCTATAGAGGAACAGTGTAAGCTGTTTGTTATTTGTTTGTTTGTTTGTTGTTGCTTTTAATAATGGGAGATATTTGACTATCAAAATGCTGATGTTTAGGTTGAGATTTGCATTTACTGGCAGTGAGCCCCAGGAGCAAATCCCTATATTGCTTCACGCTAAGGCATGGGTAGTTAAAAACCTAACTTAAAGGCGCATATCGCTGAAACACGTATGAGTAATTCTGTTCTCTCTAAATAAAGCATTTCTCTGTTCTTTTAGCTGGAATGGCCATAGAGAAGAATGTTAACCATGTAGAACAGGCTGTAATAGAAACAGTAAGAACAAACTTTCCTGAGACATGGATATGGGACCTCGTCAGTGTCGAGTGAGTTTTTAGCAGTTTTCTCTCCGATGTGTCTGTATTTGTATTTTCTTTTTATTTCCTAACTTTTATTCCTGGGTATATAAAATAATACCATATTTGTAAAATATGTAGTGTCATCCATTTGCATGTGCTGATCACATTTTATTTTATTTTTTCTCTGGCATCGGTTTTCCTTCACCAAGTGTTTCTCTTCTGTAAATTTCATGCAGATAGCTCTAAACTGCCTCAACTTAAAACAAAACAAAAAAAATAATGTGGTGTCTAAAGAAATGTAACCTTTCTAAGTTAAGTTTTATAGAAATACAACTCAAGATTTTTACCTAATGTTCTGTCCAAACACGATAACTCATTTTTAACCTTTAGTTAATACTTTTTTTTTTGGCTTGCCTTGGCCTAAATTTAGGTTTTTGGTTTAAACAAAGAGTGAGTTTTGCTAATAACTTCTCCTTGTAGTTCCTCGGGTTCAGCAAATCGTTCATTCCTTGTCCCTGATACTATAACCCAGTGGGAGGCCAATGTCTTCTGTGTGAATGGTGATGCAGGATTTGGAATTTCACCAGCAATCTCTCTGGAAGTCTCCCAGCCCTTCTTCGTTGAAACTGCCTTACCCTATTCAGTTGTTCGAAATGAACAATCTGATTTGATTGTCAGTGTCTTCAGCTACCTGACTACGTGTGTAGAGGTAAGGAGTGCCCTTTGATCTGGAGACAAAAATCCAACAAATCCAAGAGATTCTTTAATATGTTCCTTGAATACTGTCATATTCTCTTTATTCTCAAATATGAAACGGCACCGTAAAGGGCTAAGACTTGTTTCCATATTTCTCAAACAAAAACAACTGTTTTAATTCACAGAAATGATTTAAATATTCCTTTGAGAATGGCATTTCATAATAATATGTGTTCTCCCTTATTTATCTTCCTGTAAGAGGAGTTATTTGGTATCTTTTAATTTTCCTAACTTAAAACAAAATAGAGACTACAGAATTTTCTCACTATGAGAGGTGGAATAGCAACAGCAAGGTAATTAAAGTGCTGCCCTTGTTGCCATGATTTTTTTTTTTTTTTTAAGATTTCTGTTCAGTTGGAAGCATCTCAGGATTATGAAGCAAATATCAACACCCTGAAAAACAATGGCAGTGAGATTATCCAAGCTGGAGAGAAGAAAACGTATGTCTGGACTGTTATACCTAAGAAATTGGGTAAGCAGTTACATGTCTACGCCGATCTCAGGAAAAACCAGCCCATTTATATTGTCTCTATTTACTTTCCTTAATTCTTTCATGCAAATATAATTTTCTCCTTCATTTTTAATTCTCTTTTTTTCTTTTTACTCCATTAAAAATTCTGCTTTTATAATTTAATTTCTGGTTGCTAACGTTGTGATGAGCAAAGCCATTTATTTGTGTAAAAGCATCATCTTATTAAAATACAATATGAATGCTAATTTGCATGACCTATCAAGTCCATACGTTACATCACAAATGAAGGCCATAGTTTCATTAGTGCTGACAATTCTTCACCTGTCATTGTGAACCCTAGCCACTTCTACAAAAATTGCTCCTTAAATCACAATGATCAAGTATGGGAATTGCTAGGATTTGTAAATTTACTGAATGTATCATGGGACATGAAAAGCACCAAATGCCTGAATGCATATCAAATACTGAGAATATTGTCTCAGTGCATATATTATCTGAAATACAGAAAAATAAATTTGTTAGTATCTTGTTGAAAATATAAGGGAAAGAAAAAATTTAAAAATCTAGTAAGTAAGAAATGCTAGATATACATGAAATATTATGTCACTTAAAACATCGTGTCATTAAAATTTCCTGTATTTCATGTCCCATATTCATTGTATTATTTGAGCAGCAAAGAGTATATTTTTGAGATCATTTTAGTTCCCTTGTGATGTTGGTCTGCCGCAGATTATTCTTCCTATTTTATGTTAAGTTTCTTAATTTTTCTAATACCCAGGGTTTTCAAAAACTTTGTCCTGGAAATTGAGGTAGAATACTGTACAAACTTGTATGGTTTATGACATTAACTGGAGGACACAGTTCTGAGAGTGAAGTATCAACAATTTTCCAAAAAAAAGAGACAAATTAAACAAAATATACCCCCAAAATAATAAAAAAGAACAGTATATCGGTTATGTATATTGCTATATTGGCACATAGTTAATATTAAACCTAAAGGATTATTTTCTTCAATCTTCTAATTTTTACAAACAAGAACATTGGAGATGAGCTTAATTACATAATATGATATCACAGTCAGTTAAAAACAATGATTCCTTGCTAGCACTTGATTTCAATTCCGTGCCCTTTCCACTAGATCACACTTTACTATTTTTGTTTACTTGATCTTGGGAAAAATTAGGAGCCCTAGCTGTCTGATGTTATGTGCCTATATTGTCATATGCAACCTTTATAGGTAATCAATATCAAGAAATTGGCTCAGATGGCTTTGTAGAATATTGTTTTCCTAAAATTTCTTAAGTTCTAATTAAGTAAATGAGTCACTTATTTAATACAAGGAATCTTGAAACAGGTAAAACAGAACACACCACATTATCTCCATGCAGGAAAAGAGGCAAGTTGTTTTGGTTTAAGCTTTATATGATCATAGAATTTGGTTCATCCACTTCAGTATATGACTCACAGATTCTAATCATTTCCCATTACAGAAAGGGGCCAATTTAACTCATATTTTGGAATGTTTTCTAGGTAAGGTGAATATCACTATAGTTGCTGAGTCCAAAAGAAGTACTGCTTGCCCAAACAAAGCAACTGAACAGCAGAATGTAAACTGGAAAGACACTGTGGTCAAAAGCTTGTTGGTGGAGGTACGTGCATGCAAAACCATCACACTCTTTCTTATAAGAAAAAGACAGCAGCTGAGAAGAAGAACGTTAAAACACACTATCTTTGAAGAGACTTAACTTGTCACAATTACTTTTGACACAAAACATATCATTGTAAAGGAATTAAAACAGCATAACCTGCATCCTTTCTTTAATTAATACCTCCCGGAGGATAGTAAAACTTAATTAACACTTTAAACAGGCTCGATGACTTTTCTGTCTGCTCTTCACTCACGATGTTTCCTGTACACCTACTCCTCTTTCCTCTCTTTTCTAACTGATTCTCAAATCCAAGATAAAAATTGACGTGCCCTACAGCCCTGTGAAGTTCTCAACATCCTCAATAAGAATCAACATTTCTCAGAGGCACGTTCTTGCCTTGCCTCTTGGTGTGGCCCTACTCTACAAAACATTAATTTGTCTACCGGGGATGCCAGACAGGATCAGAGGAGTTGAGAGTGTTGCACACTAACATTGAGGTTATCCCTGTTCAACCTACGAGAACACAGAGCTTAAAGTGGGTGTTGGTAATGTACAGTGACCTCCAGATATACACAGAAGGGGACAATGAATGAATCTTCTCTTAGGGACAAACATGTACCAGTCACGCCTACGTGAGCTGATCCTTGATTACTTTTTCTTCATGAAAAGATGACCCAGACTCACTATTTTGTGCTTGCCTTTGTTTACTCTTTGACAGCCTGAAGGTATTGAAAAAGAAATGACCCAGAGTTTCCTTATCTGTACAAAAGGTAAGGGGATCTTTCAGGTGGTTACATTAGTCCTAAAGAAAATTAATCAGCATGGTCAGTTTATTTCATCTCTTTCCACATTATTCCACTTGGCATGTGATTTCATTTTAAATATCTCATGGAGAATTACTTTATTTCATGCCTTATCTTCACTGTAAGATTTTAGCAAACAAAGAGTATTTTTATAAGATATTGTTTTTCGTTCATCTGTGATGTTGGTGTGCCTCGACTTATTTTTCCATCTTCTTTATTCTTGGCTCTTCATCATATGATTGTCACACAATGTTGGCCAATGGGAAATCAGGATTAGGCCCAAATAGCACATAATGTGATCTTTGCTTCTGTGCTCTAGATGCGTCACCATCCCTCAATCACCTGCTTTATGGCCATCACAAGTATTATTCTACCTCACTGATGGTGATCAGATTTTAATGCCTCATCAGTCTTCAGGCTTTACCTTTTGTATGTGCCATTTTATATGTCATAATCAGTAGTTTCTATGTTTTTTCATACATAAATAATTTAGTCACTAAACTAGTGTAGAATGGGGACTATTATATAACACACAGATTTGTATACCATTTTCTTACATTTCAATGTATTGTTATTCTAAACTAGATCAAATCCTCAGTTTCATCTTGTCTAACAAGAGACTTGTAAAATAAAAATAATGAAATCTGTTCCTTAATATGTTTGTCCTCAGAATCTGCTGCCACTGTGTATAAAAGGAAGTCATCACATTATTTTCTTTTTCAATCAATATTTTCTTTCCAGGTGCCAAAGCCTCGAAGCAGATAGTTTTGGACTTGCCAGACAATGTAGTAGAAGGGTCTGCCAGAGGCTTTTTCACTGTTGTGGGTACGTTGATTAGATTTTGAGCTTCACAATGATTTGAAAATCTCGGTTGAGATGGTCTCAAAACGTCCTTACCATATCAGGATTGAGATATTTTCTTAAACTATCAAAGGAGGGAATTATTATTCAGATGATCCTCTATACTTGTTTCCATGTGGGACCTTGAAGGGGTTATAGTGCTGTTTCCAAATTTACATCTCTAGGAGACACTAGTTCTGGTAGATGATAACTGGTCAGAAAACAAAAGGTTCTATTATAGCCCATTAACCTGAAATATTAAATTTGCCTCTTAGGGAGTCAGAATAAACTTTGCCTGTTAAAGATACTGTGAATTTCCTCAGTAAAAGGAGCAATCTGTTTTACAAAAGACAAGCATCTTTTTCTATCACTAATATGAACACCTTTTGGGGAACAATGGATTACAGTTTATAACTCAAAGGGCCAGTTTCTCAAAAAGCAAACAAGCAAACACACATTTCTAACTTTCCCCTCTCTATAGTAACGAGATTTTCAGAAATATTTTTTTTTATCCCAGAAACCCCTTTAACTTCACCCTCCATGGTTATCTCCTCTTTAGAACTACTTCATGAAACTTTCTGGTTCCACCTTTTAGACTCTTTTTTCCTCTAGTTATCAATGCTGAGATAGCAGCTATAGCAGCTATAAGCAGTATGACTTTTCTGCTTTTCTTGTTTTTAGGAGACATTCTAGGACTTGCAATGCAGAATCTGGAGAATCTTCTTCAAATGCCCTATGGATGTGGAGAGCAGAATATTGCCCTACTAGCGTCTGATATCTATGTCCTTGACTATCTGAAATCTACCGAACAATTGACGGAGGAAGTTAAATCTAAGGCTTTCTTTTTCTTATCTAATGGTGAGAAGATTTAAGTAATTTTGGCCCTTAATAGGTGACAGAAATTGTTACTAATACCACCATGTCATAAAGATGTTATTATGAGGCAGTCTGGGGGAGTGGGGGAAGTGGACCTGAACTGCGGCACTCTGGTTCCTAGCTATGTTTTCTTTTTGATTTCAAAATCTGTGTGGTCATTTAGATTC